GGGTTTGCAAGTCAGTTTGGCCAGTCTTCTTACGATCTTGCAAAGCTTCGTTGAAAGACTTCAAGGTAGAATTTTAATCACCCAATTCCACGTCTCTGCACCAAATGATATATATTTTCATGTAGCATAATTCTCAGCACTCGAATCATAGCCAAATTCCTCGAATAGGCCTTCAAAGGGAGCTTCTCGAACTGCCTTCCATACTTAGCCAAAAACTGGCAGCTTCCTGGTTTTGGCAAAGGGTTTTGATGAGCCTGGAATTTGGACTTCTGGACTTCTCCTGGCCAAACCAAACATACCAACATGTAAAGGAGCATTTCATGCTTCAAATAAGCCTTCAAATCATCATTTCCATTGAGCCATTGATAGGGAACGAGCTTGCAAAGTGACCTCCCCGAACCTGTATCAATACTTAGCCAAAATTTATAGTTATTTAAATGGAATGATTCGGGTTCGTTTTCACTTAATCCGAGACTTGAGATTGATCTAGGTGAGATCATATCAGGCCCCCCTGTAGAAAAAGCTTTGCCCTCAAAGCTTGATTTTTCTTCCTTTCAAAATTTGCACAGAATTGATCCCAAATAGGATCGAAAGTGGGCTGTTCAAACACATTCTTCGGCAGAAAATTTGCAGCTGTGAATTCGGCTTCAAGCTGATCCAGCACCTTCGAAGCTTGGAAGGATGTTGAGAACCTCTCCTGGGCTGGTAAATAACCTATCTCGTCGACCAATTTCGCCGGAAAATGATTGGAGCAGCAGGTCTGTCGTCGGAGTTCTCCTTTGCTCATGAATGCAGCCAAATAAATTGGGGATTTTGAATTGGAGCATTCCCAATCCAATTCATTGATTCCAAGCTCTTCACCATGCTTCCAATTGAAGGTTTGGACCTACCCCCAGTCTCGAATCATCACCATTGTCGACAATCCTTCAGTTTCATCTTTCCCGCCGCCAGCCGTTTTCAAATTTTCGAATCCCAGATTCTTCAATCGAAAATTGGGGATTTTGGATTCAAGCATCCTGGACTATATTGCGTGTTCTGAGAGCTTCCCAGAGTGCCTCCAAACGATTGTGCTTCAGCCACTTGGTTCGAATCATACCCGAACTCCCTAACCAATAAGCTCGAATTTTGTTCACCTTCGGTCGTTTTCAGAGGGGTTGAAGCTTGAATTCGATCCACCAATTTGGGTTGATTCGACTCTTCCTGAGTTATGGGAGAGCTTCCTGGAACCTTACGGAACGTTTCAGCACCATCGGATTGGATCGACGAATTCCCAAGGCTTCTACCCAATTGACCCTCTCTCCTCCCCTGTTTCGCCGTCGTCGGAACGCAGGGCTGCTGGGTTGATGCTGCTGGTCGTATCTTGTCGCGTCGGAGAGCCGTGAGAGCTAGCCTGTGAACGATCAGACTCCTCTCCTGACCACGCGTATGACTCGATTCTCCCTCCCCTTTAGCTCGCGTTGATTCCAGCAGTCGCTGATCGGCACGAACTTCAGCCGGCGACAGGGGCTTCAGTTTCAATTTCTTCCCTCCATGTGTAAAAGTGTAGCAATTCGATCGGCCATGGGGGGTGACTCCTCGATCGAATTGCCACGGCCTGCCCAAGAGAATATGAGCTACGTGCATAGGTGCCACATCACACAAGATTCGATCTTTGTATTGATCGATTTCAAACTCCACCCATGCTTGTTTTGTCACCTTCACGGCGCCATGATCATTAAGCCAATGGAGGCTATATGGTTCGTGGTGTTGTAATGTGCTCAATCCGAGCTTCCTAACGGTTTCGAGGCTAACGACGTTGGTGCAGCTCCCTCCGTCGATCACCATTGACGCCGTCTTTCCTTGAATGCGACAGCGGGTATGGAACAAATTATCTGCTGTTGTGTCTCACTCACCGCCTCCAACGTGAGTGCCCTTCTGTTGACGAGAAAGTGTCCTCCTGGAGTCTCCATTTTGATGTTTTCATCCACCTCCTCGTCTGTGCTCTCCACAGCTGCTTCCTTCTCTTTTTCCTCTTCATCGGAGTAGTACTCCCCATCTCGTAGAATCAAAGCCTTCGGATTGGGGCATTGGAAGGACTTGTGTCCTCGACCATGGCATTTGTAACACTCCAACTTGCTAATGGAACCGCCAGCTTGATCCAGGTTGATTGTTGGAGCACTTGGCTTCAAATTCGCTGGCCGGACAGGAGTTGAGACGGCGGTCGGTAAGTTTTCAGGGCCACTGGTTGGCCTGGGCGTGACCATTCGCCTTGCTGCGCTCTGCTTCAACTGCCTCTCAATCTTGATAGCCAAGTGTATGGCGTCCTCCAGATCAACAAAGTGACGCAGCTCCAACTCGTAACAAATTTCTTTGCTCAGCCCAGACATGAACCGCGAAATTGTCGCCTCAGAATCTTCTCGGATGTCAGCTCTGGTCATGAGCAATTCCAATTCCCTGGCATAGTCTTCCACTGTGCGAGATCCCTAACGAATTGCCTGTAGGGACTCGTGCAATTCGCGCCAGTAATAAGCTGGAACGAATTTGTCTCTCATTAAGCCCCTCAATTCTTCCCAGCTCGTGATTTCAGCCTGTCGATTACGCCGTCGTCGGACTTGGATTTGTTCCCACCACGTTGCGGCGTAATCCTGGAACTCGTATGTTGCGAGGAGTAATTTTTGATTCTCTGAATATTGCCCACACCGAAAGAACAACAAAATTTTCCGTTCCCAATCCAGATACGCAGTGGCATTGCTCGTGCCATGGAAAATTGGAATCGAATGTTTGATCCCTCACAATTCTGCCACGGGAATTTCATCTGCTTCTCGCTCAGCTCGGAACTCGTCGTGCTGCTGCCATTGACGGTGTCGTCGATGTTCAGTGTCAACGTCCAATGCCATCAACTGCCTTTCAAGTTCGTGCACTCTGTTGGCCAGAACTGGGTCGGTTTCTGGATTTCCAGTCGGCGGCGGGCGGCGCCCTTCTGGCGGCACTTGTGTGGCGAGTGGTGTTGCCACGACTAGTTCGTGTTGATAGCTCATCGCCTCGACCTTTTGATTGAGACTATCGAATTTGGACGAAAGGGATTGAAATTTTTTGTCCTGTTTTGTCAGCTGAGTTTGGAACAGAGCAACGACTTGCTCTTGGAAGAACTGCTGCAATTCTGGCATCGTGATAGGCCTCGGTTCCCCCATTGAAGCTCCTTCCTCACCTCCTTCAGGAACAATGTAGACCTCTGTTGCTCTATTCGTCGCCGCCGCCTGTTTCTTTTCCTTTTCTTTTCAGACAGTAAGACAGGGGGCTCTGGAACAGGGCCTTTCGACCTCGTCCAAGGCACAATTCCGTCGGACTTCGTTTCACTGGCCACTGTGTAGAACCTTGGCTCTGATGCCACTTGATAACACCAAAGGCGGCGTTGGATCAGAGTTACGCAACCCAAACCCAAAAGAATTGAGTTTCTTGATTCCCGGTGAACAAACAGGGGAACTAAACAAGCTTGTGAAGCTTGTTTCGTGATGAATCGTGATGGAAACGAGAGGGAATCCTCACACCTGGGAGGATGCAAAGTCGTTATAAGGTTACCTTCGAATGATCGAGTGGGGCTTCTCGATCAATAGGCCAAAGTTCAGCAAGTTTTGATCGCAATCAAAACCAAAACAACTCACATCTCAAAACGTTGAGAATTTGGGGTTTTCTTCACAAATCAATTCTACCTATTACAATACAATGGAATGTCCTTAAATAGACTTAGGCTAGCTAACAACTCAATATGAAAGTCCTAAACAGAATCAAACTATGAAATCAAACGCAAACAGGAAAAAGGTAAAAGAATCCTAATCCGCAAAGGACTTGGATTGTTGGGTTTGCAAGTCAGTTTGGCCAGTCTTCTTACGATCTTGCAAAGCTTCGTTGAAAGACTTCAAGGTAGAATTTTAATCACCCAATTCCACGTCTCTGCACCAAATGATATATATTTTCATGTAGCATAATTCTCAGCACTCGAATCATAGCCAAATTCCTCGAATAGGCCTTCAAAGGGAGCTTCTCGAACTGCCTTCCATACTTAGCCAAAAACTGGCAGCTTCCTGGTTTTGGCAAAGGGTTTTGATGAGCCTGGAATTTGGACTTCTGGACTTCTCCTGACCAAACCAAACATACCAACATGTAAAGGAGCATTTCATGCTTCAAATAAGCCTTCAAATCATCATTTCCATCGAGCCATTGAAAGGGAACGAGCTTGCAAAGTGACCTCCCCGAACCTGTATCAATACTTAGCCAAAATTTATAGTTATTTAAATGGAATGATTCGGGTTCGTTGTCACTTAATCCGAGACTTGAGATTGATCTAGGTGAGATCATATCAGTCCATGTAGAGTATCGTGGCAAGTATTGTTGGCGAGGTTTACTCTCTTTCTTATCACCCTAGCAACTCCAAAGGTGAAAGCTGGATGTCGATAGATTGGCCCTTCCCTCGCCAATGCATCGCAGAGAGAAAATTTGTACTCCTTCCTATGCTCGTCACGTCAATATGCAGGGGTATAGTGAAGACATAGCCTTCTCCTGGAAGTCCTCATGGAGAATCCACCTCTCGCTTCAGTCCCTTGTCGGACCCACGGTCAATGTAGCCAAGAACTCTCTCATGAGAACATCATTGCTCTCTCCTCTTATGCTGAATAGTGATACAAGTAATAAATATCGAATCCACGGGTCTCTAGAGTTACTATTACTCAACTTCATTTATCTAGTATATCATATTGATTTTTGATTAACTAAACCACTCTACAGCCTAAGCTAGATTAGACTACTAATTACAATGTTGAGAACACACTTAGGTATAATTCCCCTAGCCACTAGCCGAATTAATGATCATTGATCTCTAACTTGATTCACTTTCATTCACAATGCAGAGAGTCATTGCCTAGACCTTGAAACTCGACTAAAGAAATAAAGCCCTCTTGAGTCAATTGCTTAGAAAGACGTATTCTTCTTTATAACTGATCTAGATTTGATCAAGGCGTTCTACAATACACTCCCTCTACCAACACTCCCTCTACCAAATTTGAAAGTCGTTTGACTGATACCGGTTATAGGATGGTTGAGGGAAACCATCCCTAAAACCCGCGCCATTGCTAGTGAAAAGGAGTAAGAAAACAAATAGAGCGTTGTAGTAGTGGTTGCTTTTCCTTTCTTTCTTACTCAGAACAATATTTAATTCACATTCAACCAAAGACAACAAGCGCATTTTGCTGATTTCTGCTGGGCATCTTGATGCTCTTCTCGGTCAGAGTTCATATTCAATGCCAGTTGCTAACAAAGAGTCCTTTTTCTAATCGAACCAGCATTGGATGCAAAGGAAAGAAAGCTGGCAGCATGCGTGCTATCTCAGTTCCCAGCAAACAGTCACTCTTCAAGCCAGGCTCCCTTGGAAAATCATCAGTTTGATGTAACATTTTCTTCCTGTTCCTGGTAACAAGCAACGTGTGATCTCTCTCATGGAGTTGACAGCTGTAAACTTGTTCGTTGTACTGTCTCCGCCATTTCAACTTCAATTGTGCTGGAGTCTGAAGATTTTACATCCTCAACTGCCATCTTCCGAAGTTTAGCTAGTTGGATCGCCCGTAGCTCATACCTGGCAGCCAACATACATCCGATCTTAGACACAACTGCCCCTCATTCGATGACTCATAAATCTAGCCTTATTCTACCACACATATTCTTAACAAGATGTTGAGGCCCTTGAACACAGGAGGAATACATGTCCTGTATGGATTTCACACAAGGAACCAATTCAAACTTAGAGTTGTCTGTCGCACAAAACTCGGACAAATTGCACAAAAGCAAACAAAGAAAGCTTATATCTTCTGGTTTTTAAAATCTCAGTATCCAGCAGCTCACTAATTTGAGTTAGATTATGCATTATTTCCTTCGGCCTCGTGATCTGACAACAATACTTTACCTTCTTGTGCCATGCGTTACAGATAATGGGCCGTGAGCAGAGAGGAACAAAAATACGGCTGACAAACACCTAAAGAACTCAAATGTATGCAGCACCATGAAGCAAATAACTTCGAGAGAACCCTTTCAAGCTATTTTGAGTTAGGATATTGAAGATTATATAGCACTTACTCAGCTATGTCGGCCTTGACAAGTGTGAAATAGATCCTCCAAAAATCTCGCTCTTTCAAGTGGCCAGGGGATAACTTAAATCTTAACTGTGCAAGTTCCTGAGACGAAGAAACAAAACAAGGTTGGATGATAGGTTATGATTGATCACTGTAAATGTAAGTGGGCAATTGAAATGTAACATCCAAGGACAACCAACGCACAGATCCCAGGTAGTCTACCAGTACCCAAGAACACGCATCATATCACAGATATCAGAAGTTGAAAGGCAAATCAACTGGCAAACCCAATTCCTTAGCATTTTGTTCATCCCGGGTGCATGTAGCTGCTACGATCCATAGTCTGTTCTTTCGGCATAATCAATAAATACAACCAAAGAGTACACAAATTCCACAAAGGTTCCAACCCAGTCCCACTGTGCTCGACAGATAATAGAGAAGCTTATGCCCGCCTAGACAAGAGAAGTCCGCACTATCAATAAACTACAAGTCCTTAGGATATAAGCTTCTCAAGTATTTCAAACACATTGAGCAGTAAGACCAGGACTGGCAACAGACTCTCAAATTGCCAATTTCCAAGCACTGATATGAAGTCTCCTGATTGAAGAGACCAAACTATATGCACTTGGCAAATTAGTAGAGAAGCAAACTCCCTTTAGCAGAACCGTAGCTATCACAAATTCGTAGAGTGTTAGATTACATCTAGACACAGCAGCATCTATGAACAAATCATTACTCTACAATTTCAGTTGACTATGAATTCCTCGGAGAATGGACTGGGCCAAAGAATAGATTAGATTAAAACCAAAAATACAATAAAGTGATAACCAATTCGAGTAGCAAACGGATCAATACCTTGACTTTGGCAAGAATTAGGGTAGCATGTCTCTCCTGCCACTCAGAGAGATCCCTTCGAACGCTAGCGGAAGCAGCTGCTGCCATCTCGTCGCCAAAGGAAGCTTCTGTGGTTTCGTCATCTTTATCCAGGCAAAGGGGGAAAAAGGGGAATCCAGAATCATCACAAATCAATCCATGTATGATGAATTCCAGGAAGATTTTCAAAACCAGGAAGATAATTGACGTACCACGTAGTGGAAAATTCCTGAAGTCATCGAGCGTGAAAGACTTGACTCGATCTATCAACTGCTTGGTAACTCCATGAAGCTCTTCGTCTTGGTTTTCTTGTAGACGTTTTGGGTTCGAACTTGATTGTTGGGGCACTGAATCATTGCTTGAGCTGCGAGCTCGAAACCATGACTTCCAATTCATGGCGGTCGGAGCCGATTGAACAGAAAAACCTTGACGTTCTTTATAAAGTATAAACTGTAATCACTATTTCAAAACCTGGAACAACTCTTGATTCTGGGTAGAATATTGATTAGAGCTCTGGTACGATATGAGTAGTCTTCGTTTCTCCTCAGTTATCAATATTTTTCATGTTTGTCACCGAAAATATTTTCCTTTATTATTAGTCATTCATTTTTAATATTATCCTACCATTGGTCACTAACTATCCAATTTCGTTACCATTGTTTCCGAAGGAGGGGAGGAAAAGGAGGGGAGGGGAGGGGAGGGCATAAGATAGGGTCAGTAACCACTGGTGGTTACTGACCCATCAGTAACAACACGCGGGCCGTAGATTTGAGGAGGAAGAAATCGTGTGGATGGGCTGGACGCTGGGTGGGGAGGGACATTTTTGTCCGTTTTCGTATTTTTCAATTTTTTATTTATTTCGCATTTCAATGCTGGCTTTTCAATGAAAGAGAAAGAATCTTCCTTCTCTGCAACTCAACTTTATTCCTTCTCTCTTCCTTTTTTTCAATCTCTTTCCATAACCTTTCTCTTTCTCTATTCCTTCTCTCTTACTTTTTTTCTCACAATCTCCTTTTCAAATCTAAATCTGCTCTCTTCCTTCTTCATTTTTTTTCTCTAGCATAAAAATTGTAGCCACTCTCTTTCATTGCATTTCTTCTCTTCATCAACTCGTTGGACTCAATTCCGATCTCTCATTTTTTTTGGCATTTTGGTGTTCTTGATTGAGGAAGAGGAAATGAGAGGCATCAGAAGACGATTTTTTTCTCTCCCTCCTTCTGTTTTTTTCCTTTTAGATAATATATATTGATATTATGACTCTATACCATATGGTATTGGGTGGTAACGAAATATATATTGACATTACCACACTATACCCTATGGTAATTTATGGTATTGCGTGGTAACGAAATATATATTGATATTACCACTCTATACCATATGGTATTGTGTGATATTACCACACTATACCATATGGTATTGTGTGGTAACGAAATATATATTGATATTACCACTCTATACCATATGGTATTGTGTGATATTACCACACTATACCATATGGTATTGTGTGGTAACGAAATATATATTGATATTACCACACTATACCCTATGGTATTGGGTGGTAACGAAATATATATTGATATTACCACACTATACCATATGGTATTGGGTGGTAACGGAATATATATTGATATTATCACACTATACCATATGGTATTGGGTGGTAACGAAATATATATTGATATTACCACACTATACCATATGGTATTGTGTGGTAACGAAATATATATTGATATTACCACACTATACCATATGGTATTGGGTGGTAACGGAATATATATTGATATTACAACACTATACCATATGGTATTGGGTGGTAACGAAATATATATTGATATTACCACTCTATACTATACGGTATTGTGTGAATTGTGTGATATTACCACACTATACCATATGGTATTGGGTGGTAACGAAATATATATTGATATTACCACACTATACCATATGGTATTGGGTGGTAACGAAATATATATTCATGTGGCAAATATTACTATACCACATGGTATGCTCTTGTTTAATACCAGTCAATACCATATGGTATAGACTGGTAATAACTGAAAAAAAATTTTGTGTCCAAAAAATATCAAAGTGGATATCATTTTGAAGAGCACAATTAATCTGATCTAACTGTGCCAAAAAAATTAAATTTCGACTTAAAACGAGTGAGAAATCGTCCGTTAAAAATTAAGGGAAGGAAAATTAAATGTTTTGCCAGAAGAGAGAAGGAGGGGCTGATAGGCTCCGGTCAAAAGTGAGTATCAATAATAAATAGGAGTAATTGCAATTTTACCGTACTACCCTTTTCACATTTAATTTAAATAAAAAAGTGACTGACACGTGGGAACCAGGGAAGGGGTTACTGATGGGTTACTGACCCATCAGTTACTGACAAGATCTGGGAGCAGATCATGTCAGTAACTGATGGGTCAGTAACCCATCAGTAACCCTTTCCCCTGTCCCCACGTGTCAGCCATCTTTTTTATTTAAATTAAATGTAAAAGGGCAGAAAGGTAAACTTGTACTTGTCCTTATTTATTGCTGACGCTGACTTTTGACCAGACCTTTAATTTTCTTTCCCTTAATCTTTAACGGACGATTTCTCACTCGTTTTAAGTCAGAATTTAATTTTTTTTACACAGTTAGTTCAGATTAATTATGCTCTTCAAAATGATATCCACTTTGATATTTTTTGGACATAAAAAAAATTGTCAGTTATTACCAGTCAATACCATATGGTATTGACTGACTGGTATTAAATAAGACCATACCATATGGTATGAAAAATTTGTCACATCAATATATGTTTCATTACCACCCAATACCATATGGTATAGTGTGGTAATATCGATATATATTTGGTAATACCACCCAATACCATATGGTATAGTGTGGTAATATCAATATATATTTCGTTACCACACAATACCATATGGTATAGTGTGGTAATATCACACAATACCATACAATACCATATGGTATAGTGTGGTAATATAAATATATATTTCGTTACCACACAATACCATACATTACCATATGGTATAGTGTGGTAATATCAATATATATTTCGTTACCACCCAATACCATATGGTATAGTGTGGTAATATCAATATATATCTCGTTACCACACAATACCATATGGTATAGTGTGATAATATCACACAATACCATATGGTATAGTGCGGTAATATCAATATATATTTCGTTACCACACAATACCATATGGTATATTGCGGTAATATCAATATATATTTCGTTACCACACAATACCGTATAGTATAGCATGTTAATATCAATATATATTACCTAAAAGAAAAAAAACAGAAGGATGGAGAGGAAAAAAAACTCGTCTTCTATTTCGTCTCATTTCCTCCGCAATCAAGAACACCAAACGCCAAAAAAGGGAGAAAGACCTAAATCGAGGCCAACGAGTTGATGAAGAGACAAAAAAAACGCAATGAAAGAGGGTGGCTGCAATTTTTCTTCGTCGATTGCTGGAGAGAAAAAAAGGAAAAAAGAAGAGAAGGAAGCAGATCTAGATATGGAGAAAGAGATTGGAGAGAAAAAAAAGGAACAGAGAAAGAGAAATAATCTGAAAAGGAGATTGAGAGAAAAAAAGGAAGAGAGAAGGAAGGGAGAAAGAAAAAAGAGAGTTGCAGAGAAATGATTCTCTCTCCTCCTTTTAAAAGGCAGCCATTAAAATTGACTCCTTTTTTGAAAAAGCGGACATTAAAATCGGAATATAATAAAACAAAATTTATAAACGGACAAAAATGCCCTTTTGGACCCCGCATTCAGCCCAGCCGCATGATTGATCTGCCCCCAAGATCTACGGTGTGCGTGCATTTACTGATAGGTCAGTAACCATTGGTTACTGACTCTATCCCAGACCGGAGGGGAGGGAGGGAAAATCTAGCGTGGAAGGAAAATTGGAGGGGAAGGGAATTGAAGAGAAAATGTTGTTTTATGTGGGAAAGTGGAAGGGATATTAGGAGGGAATAAGTATATAAGAAAGTGTGATAGATATGTTATTTTATTGATTATGAAAGTATAAATATGTGCAAAAAAGGTGAAAGATGAATATTATGAATAACCAAGATTTATATAACCTTGATCATTTTTATTATTTGTTAACGGAACATATATTGTTCATTTAACTCGATTTTATTTTGCATAAAAATTTGATTACCTTGTAGTACAAGATGACGTTCATTCTATAATAAATGTAACACTCTGATGTCGTCTTACTTGAAACTTAACACACATTTACGTTCCACGTAATTGTGTAAAACAACGTTATGTGCGACTCATGCGGGCTCGTTGATTTAAAAATTTCCAATATAAATTGGATTAGCTCTACTATACAAAATGACATCCATTTTGTAAACATTTCCCACTCAGATATCGTTTTTACTATGAATGTAACAAACTTTTATATCTCACGTAACAATTTTACGTATCGCGCAAGACAACGTTATGCATGACGTTAATCACCCATTTGGTTCGGTTCGATCCAGTCTAAATATCAAATAAGTAGATAAACATGTTGCATTCTTGCTATAAATTTCAAGTTTATCAAATTTATCGTATGGAACATGTCTACATAAAATACCATTTAACGAAGATGTCATAACAGGAAAATATTTGTAATTAAAAATGAAATAAAATTAAATTCTCAATCTACCATGATTACTTCCTTCCTATTCTTCTTTACCTTAATCCGCTAAAACGTGCAATTGCCATTTATATTTATATTTTTAAATTTTTACGAGGCTTTATTGAAAAACAAAGATAAAAAGCAGAAAGGGAGCAGAAGAAAGAGAGTGGGCTTTCTCTCCAATTTGGAGGGGCACCTCATACAATAACTTTTCCCTCTAAATTTCCTTCCCCTGCTACTGCACATCTGTTGGAGAACGCAAGAAAATGTATCGGAAACTACACTTCCCCTCCCTGCCTTCCCCTCCCCTCCTTTTCCCTTGTAAAAAAACAGGGGGTTAAACTTTTTCGATATAGTGGTTCACAATAGAAATTGGTCGTTAATAGATAAAATGACAATAAAAGAAATATATTTTTTATTACTTTTGTCAAGAACCAGTTGCTCCCAATAACTCGAGTTGTTGAAAGAGGTTCAATCGTGGATCATATACCACAACACTAACACGCCCCCTCAAACAAAAGCCACTCACAGGGGCTTGAAGTTTGCACAGGTCTGAAGACAAGGATACCATGTGCTTAACAAATGGGGGTCACCGCTCGAACACAAGACCTCTCGGTCACAAAAGGCTCTGATACCATGTGAAGAATCAGTTGCTCCCAAAACCTCGAGTTGTTCGAAGAGGTTCAATCGTGGATCATATACCACAACACTAACAACTTTAACATCACCACCATCCTTTTTTTTTGTAGAAAGATTGACTTCTTAGCGTCTGATTCGTATTAATAATCGCATGATCTTGTGCAATGCCCATGATGTCGTGTAACAGCCAATGTCCGAGGTCCGGGTCGCACACATTGAGGTGGTGTGTGCCAAAATTTACATAGTGACCCATACTA